AGGTGGCGCAATCAACATCTGACTCATCTCCGCAAACCACGGAGCCCCCGGGCGATCGGGCGCTATCAGTATCACTGACAGCCCCTCTGACCTCACCCTGGCTAGCAGTGGGAGAATGCAAGACAGCGGAGGGAATGCATACAGGAGAACTTTCGGCCACGGGTAGTGCGCGAATGCGTCTCTTCCCAGTGGTGGTTCGTCCTGTTCCCTCAGAGAGAACCATAGGGGACATTGCGCGTTCACGCGTGACGCGAACAGATCCACCTCGGCTCTCCCGAACTGGATGCAGACACCACTCGTCGTCTCGAGGACCCCCTCTTGACATGAGGTCTGCTCCTACGTTCAAGTAGCCCGGAATGTGTGCTGCTCTCAACGAGCGAAGGTGCTTGTGAGCCCACAGCCACAATTCCTCTGCCGCCCGGTGGAGAACAGGAGACCTGACTCCTCCCTGGCGATTTATGTGAGCCACTGTGGTCCGGTTGTCTGACCAGACCAGCACATCGCGACCCCGAAGGGTAGGCGCGAAGTGGGTCAGAACCAGTCGAACCGTTTCCAACTCCAAGAGGTTTATGTGACGACCTGATTGAGGCCACACACCTCCTATCGCTTGAGTCTGACATGTCCCTCCCCATCCAGTCAGAGAAGCATCTGTAAATACCGGAATGTAGGATGACACCTTGCCCATCGGGACTCCGTGCGTGAGAACGCTCGGATTCCTCCAATAGTCCAGGTCTGCTCTTAGCGAGAGAGGAACCACCACCAACCGATGACGTTGACGCACTGGGTCTAGTCTTAGTTGGGCGAACCATCGCTGTATTCTGCGCATGTGCAGGAGTCCCAGCGGAACCACAGAGTGGGCTGACGACATGAGACCCAAAAGTGACATAATCAACAGCGCCGTCACTGTGCGATTCGGACGACACTTCCTCAGGGCTAGCAACAATGCTACCCTTCGAGGGTCCGAAATTCGAGCCCTCATCATTACAGTGTCTAGCTGTAGCCCCAGGTAGACAATCTGATGACTGGGCCAGGGTGCGCTCTTTTTCCAATTCACAGCGAACCCCAGACGCGTGAGATGAATCACTGTCTGTGTTGTGTGAGTGAACGCCAGCTCTGCTGACGGGGCGAGAACCAGCAGGTCGTCTAGGTAGGCTAATAGCCTTATCCCTTGACGACGCAACGGTTCCAATGCCGCCTCCACACATTTGGAAAACGTTCGAGGTGCCAGGGCGTACCCGAATGGCATCCTCGTGAACTCGTACGCCACCCCTTGAAAGGCGAACCGCAGAAACTTCCTGTGACGCGATTGTATCGGCACATGGAAGTACGCGTCCTTTAGGTCTATGCTTGTACAAAAGTCTCCTTTCTGGACACATTCCAGTAGACGTTTTGTCGTCAGCATTCGGAAGGGTCGTTTGGTTATGCTCTCGTTGAGAGTGCGTAAATCCAAAATCGGCCTCACTCCCCCCGTCTTTTTGGGCACTAGGAAATAAGGCGAATATAGCCCTTTGTTCCTTTGCTCCCGGGGAACTACTGTGACCGCCTCCTTCGCCAAAAGTTCCGTAATCTCTGACATCAGAGCGGCCACTTTGTCTGGCGTTTTCATCACCGTCTCCACCACTCCCCTGAACGGGGGTGGGGTTCGATGGAATTGGAGGGCATAACCCTTCTGCAACGTCTGTTCTAGCCAGCGTGAGAGGGTACAGCTTCGTTGCCACTGCCAGCAATGCAGAGAAAGCGGGCGCGCACGAAGCTGTGGTGCATCCAGTAGGAAGGACCTGTATTCCTCTATGGTCCTCGCCGCCGCTATTCCCCAGCACTGGGTTGGTGGAATAGCCCAAGGCGGGCCCCCCTCGAAAGGGAGAGGAAACATCAGCTCGTTCTGAGAGAATCGGAGGCCTTGATACGTCAGTTACGTCTGTAACTCTAGTATTCCGGCCCTCCGTGAACGTAGCACGGTTTTGAGCTGCACTGACTGAGGTATTAGCCTGAGACAGAGCGCCCTCCCCGGATAGCAATTGCGTCATCATGTCATTGTCTGACTGAGACTGCTGCTTGCCATGAGATCCGTCCACTGCAGTACTCAACAGAGTCTGGAAAGTGTGGTCTCTAACTGGTACCACAAGGTGGCGCCACAATCCCTATTTTTCACTGGTCTCATGAGGCTGCTCAACAGCACACTCTAGGTGTGGTGAGCTGCACACAGAGTAGTGGGCATTGTTACGTTCTGAATTAACCGGGGGCGCCCATACATTGGTTACACCTGTAACTCTAGTATTCCGGCCCTCCGTGAACGTCGCACGGGTCTGAACTGCGCTGGCTGAGGCGTTAGCCTGAAGCAAGGCGTCATTCCCAGCTAGCGGCTGCGTCTTCATGTCATACTTAGACTGAGACAGCTGCCTGCTATGTGAGACCTTTACTACAGAGCTCCTAGGAGTCTGTAGTAAAATATCTTTATTAGGTGAGCTAAGGCTACGCCTTGCTACCTTTTTCTCTTCCTCTCCTGTGTGTGTTCAACTACGCACCCTTCGGTGGGTTGAGCTACACTCAGGATGGTGGAGAGAAATTCATAGGACGTGAAGTACTCTGCAATGTGTCATGGAAAAAGGGCTCTTTTGTGACAATGTCAGTGGGAGCCAACTCTTTATTCACATAACAACAATAAACATTTCCCTCCATGCCCTGAACAATAGGGTGGGGGGGAACAGTGGGCTCTGTCGCGTCCAGCGCCGAGCAGTCATCCGTCCTCTCCCCCTCGTCCCGTCATTGACGCCGTCGTTTCTGGCTGACCTTCTGGTGTTGCAAGGACGGTTTTGTGACGACCTCTCTCGCCGGCGGAATCGTCGCCACCACCGTCGTCGCTGGGGGGGCCGAGCCCGCTCGCCTGCTGTCGGTGGTAGGCGCCTGTCGCCTGGCCCGTCGCCTCCCTGTAGTTCTACTGGGGGCGTTAGAGGTTGACGGGTTAGTTGAGGCCCTGCTAAACTTGCCTGCCAATGGCAGGTGTTTAGCCAGGTGCTTCCTCTCTTCGTCTAGCTTGCCGAAACGCTCCGTCGCCTCCTTAACGGCGACCCCAAAGAGGCCCTCGCTAGAGACCGGAGCGTTTAGCAGCGAGGCTCTGTCCGTCTCTGTCATGGCTGTCATAGACAGCCAGAGGTGACGTTCCATGACCACCGAGGTGGCCATGGACCGGCCTGCGCATATCGCTGACGCCTGTGTCAAATGAAGAATAGCGCCAGAAATCCTGGACGCCTCTTCAATCTCCTCGCTGGTCAACTCAGACCTACCCGTTGTTAGACGGGATAGGGAGGCCGCGAGGAGGGCAATGTTGTTAGCCGCTGACACAGCCTGGGCTCCCAGCGTAAAGGACTTCTCAGCCAGCTGTGCTGTGAGTCTGTCCTTTTGTGCTGGCAAGGTGGCTTTCTTGGAGGCCGCCCAGGGACTCGAACCCGGCACTAGATACGCCGCCATGGCGCTCTCGAGCCTAGGGATTCCCTTGGCAGCCCACTCACGTCCAGCCACTCTCGTGAATGGGGTGTACACTTTGGCCGGTGAACGCGCCGCCAGGGGTGTATCCCACGAGCCCTCGACATATTTTCAAAGGGAAGGCATAGCAGGAGCCATTGGCTCAGCTGCCTTTCTCGGTCTAGAGTAGGGGCCGCCCTCCATCATGTCGACCTCCACAGGGGGGGGAGCAGGGGGCAGCGCTATCTCAAGTCGATTCGCGGCTCTCTCAATGAGTTCGGGAAAGTCCGCACGCAGAGAGGCCGCTGCGAAGGACAGGGCTGCTGACGTAACAGAGCCCGTGTCGTCATCGCACAAGGAGCCTTCAGATCTCACACTCCCCAAAGGGAAGGGGGTCTTGAAGGTTGGCGTCAGAGGGTCGGATTGTTCCATTGGAACATCCATCTCTGCGTCTCTCTCCTTGTCATCCCCTGAGCCAGCACTGTCCGTCGACGCCTCTGAAGCAGAGGCGAGAAGAGACAGTACATCCTCTAGGGGGATATCCTCCCTAAAGAACGCCCAACGCTGCTTCCTCACCTTCATAGGAAGGAGGGCGCAGGAGGCGCAATTAGGGGGATTACCGGTCCCTTCCTTGGCATGCTGCGGCCCCAAACACACGAAACAGAGGTCGTGGGGGTCCGCAGATGCCATGGAGGAGCATCGGCACTGAGCCCTGAAAAGGGCTTTTGGGGGTGGAAAATCTCCTGGCGTGCTCATTTTAGAAGACGTCGATGGCTGGCTCATCGACGGCGATTTCTTCCTGAGTCTTCTCTTCTCTTCTTGGCTTCTTCAGTCTAGTCGTCCAGTCGCTGAAGATAATGGGAGGCTGATTGAGGGGAGGCGTCCCCTCTTATAGGGACACCTGTGCTCCCATTGGCTGCAGGTGTGTGCATAAATTTGCTTCAGGCTGTTGCTGCCTTAGGGCAGAGGGTAAACCACTAGGAGCAGAGCTCCCCTATGGGGCGGAGCTCCACGATATAGAACTAGAAACAGTGGGTAGTATTTCAATAACTCTAACGTTTTTGTGCTGAACCATTTTCAGAGTCAAGGCAGTCAGATATAGGATCATTTACTTTTGGAAACCTGTGACCTTCGGGATAAAGGTGTGTTTTTTGAGTATGATGGTAAGTAACACAGAAGGTTAATAATACGAAACTGTCTGGCTTGTTTATGTAGAACAATTCATGCCATTCATATGGAATCATATAGAGGCCTTGGCTTTTATGTGCAAAGAATGTGCAGATTCCAGTACCAAGCATCTCATTCCGGCCAGCTTGTGTCTAAGTCAAGTCCAGCCATAGAGACTCTGACTCTGGAACCTGTAACAATACACAACTCCGACCTGTTGCAGGAGAACAGTGTGCTATTGGCCTTTCATGACATGGACTCAGGGAGAATCCCGGTTTCAAGGAATAATTGTACACCACCCCATGGATACAGGTCCAGTGATCAGTTGAGAAAAAAGCCCTGAGTACTGGGTCCTCCCATACACACCAGCTATGTGTCTACAAACCTCCCCAAGAGGAACCTCAGCCTCTCTGATGCTGGGACTTACTACTGTGCTGTGGCCACATGTGGGAGACACTGTTTGGGAACAGGACCAAGCTGGACATTCAATGTAATTCTTTCACTTATTTTACCAATTTACCATTTCCAGAGTTTTATAGCATGATAATTGGTAACCTGTATTGTAAGATAAAGTGTACACTATTACCTGAAGTTATTCAAATAAAACATTTTATTTGATGCACATGTCATTGGGAATGCAAGGAAAGAAAAAGAGGACCTAGAGGTATAGAAGGGCTCGTATTTGCATCTAAAGTGCATATTAAAAGCTAATAATCGACGTATGTTTGTTACAGTAATGTTCGACATGTGTCCATGTAAAGGAAAATATTTCTGCTCAATGATGTTATTTGACTTTAAGTCATTTTTTTTTTTTTTGTTTTTTTCTAAAGGGTTGTTAAACAAGCAAATCTTTGGTTTTTAAAAAAACCCAAAACCCCCATATAAATTTTTAACTATTTTTTTTATTTTATTATTTTAAAATTTTTATTTATTTTTATATTATAAATTTTTATTTTAAGTGAGACCTATTTAAGTAAAAACCTAAAAAAAAGAAAAATTGGGGAAAAAAATTTAAATTTTTCCTTTTCCTTTTTTTTTATTCAAAAATAATGAGGAGCCACCCAAACCCTTTTGGGTTTCTTTTGTGGACTAAAAACCCAAAGGTCCTGCCAAAGCTGTGTTCTTCCCTTCAGATCTACCTGGGGCAGTCAAGGAGCGCCCCTATTGGTTAACAACCACAACTCCCCCAAATTTTTATCCACACAAGGGGGTGGGTAAATGCCCCCAAAAGAAAGATGAACCAAAATGTAAAGGTGTCACATTTTGAAAAAAAAGATTTTTTTTATATTTATGTAATCCGATCCTTTATTTAAATTATTTTTTTAAAAAAGGAAAATAAAACAGTTTGGGTTTTACAAACTAAAATGTCTTTCTAACCTTTTAAAAACCCTAAATAAATTTTTTTTTAAAAAAAAAAGTGTTCAGGGGTGGTTTGGAAAAAAAAATTTTTGGGCATTAAAACCTCTATGGTTTCCCCATGCCCCCCCCTAATCAAAATCACCAAAAAAGTTGTCCCCTTCCTCATGGGGTGTAGATCTAAACAAGAATCCCATAGTTTACCGTTTGATTAGGGTTTTGGGAAAATTTTAAGTTTGGTTTTTTCAATTTTTTTTTAGGATTTAATGGGTGCCCTTTTTTTTTTGGAAATTTTTTTAAACTTTGTTTCTCTTCAATTGACCCGGGTGGTTTCCTCCTCCCCAGGTGCCCTCGGGTAAAAGACTTTTTTAAACTTTTAATTTACTGGTTTTTCCAGGAAGTTGGGTTTTTCAAAAAATTTAAAAACCAGAGTAGGCATCCCTCTTCGCCCGATTAACTTTTACTTACAATGGTTTTTTAGCCAAGGAAATTTTTCAGCCATCTTTCCTCAAATCAAGGGGGTTTTTATGTTCGGTTTATTTTGGAAGTTGATAAATACTATCTCACGGGGTTTCCGGGAAATAAACTTTTCAACAAGTTCATACTCCTGGGAAAAAAACATGTTAGATTTAAGATTTATTTAGAAAAAAGGGGGAAAAAATTTTAAAAATTATTAAAAGGGTAACATGGGAAAAAACCCTTTTAAATTTAAAAGTTAAAAAATTCTAAAAGAAATAAAAAATTGGAAATAGTTTCGTTAAATGGTCTTTCTAAATGGGAAAAAATTTTGGTACCATAAAACCAAAAAATAAAAATTTAAAATAAAATCTTTTTTTACAACCTAGAAAGGGTTTTGTTTTTTCGGTATCCCCCAAACTGAAATTTGGCTTCCCAATATAAAAAATTTTTTCTTTAAACCCCCTTTACATATTAACCCCCAAAAAAAAATAAAACAGGAGAGAGGAATTTTGGTTTTTTCTTTAAAACCCATGCAGGGGGGGGGGTTGGGGTGGAATCACCTGCGTGCTCATTTAAACTCAGCTGGCTCATCGACGGCGATTTCTTCCTGAGTCTTCTCTTCTCTCTTGGCTTTTCAGTCTAGTCGTCCAGTCGCTGAAGAATGGGAGGCTGTTGAGGGAAGTTCCCTCTTATAGGGACACCTGTGCTCCCATTGGCTGCAGGGTGTGCATATTTTTGCTTCAGGCTGTTGCTGCCTTAGGGCAGAGGGTAAACCACTAGGGCAGAGCTCCCCTATGGGCGGAGCTCCACAATAGAACTAGAACAGTGGTTATATTCATAACTCTACGTTTTGTGCTGACCATTTCAGATGCAAGGCAGTCAGATATTAGGATACAGTACTTTGGAAACTGTGACCTTCGGAAAGGTGTGTTTTTGATATGATGGTAAGTAACACAGAAGTTTAATAAACGTAACTGTCTGGCTTTTTTATGTAGAAATTATGCCATTCATATGGAATCATATAGAGCCTTGGCTTTATTGCAAAATGTGGCAGATTCCAGTACCAAGCATCTCATTCGGCAGCTTGTGTCTAAGTCAGTCCAGCCAAGAGACTCTGACTCTGAACTGTACAATACACACTGAGACCTGTGCAGGAGAACAGTGTCTATTGGTTCAGACATGGCTCAGGAGAATCCCGTTCAGGAATAATGTACACCCATGGATACAGGAGTGATCAGTGTGAAAAAAGCCCTGAGACTGGTCTCCTACACAGAGCTGTGTCTACAACCTCCCCAAGAGGAAACCTCAGCCTCTCTGATGCTGGGACTTACTACTGTGCTGTGGCCACATGTGGGGAGACACTGTTTGGGAACAGGACCAAGCTGGACATTCAATGTAATTCTTTCACTTATTTTACCAATTTACCATTTCCAGAGTTTTATAGCATGCAAATTGGTAACCTGTATTGTAAGATAAAGTGTACTATTACCTGATATTATTCCAATAAAACATTTATTGAAAATGAACAGATTGAAATCATCAAATCCTTTGGTTTCAGAGTATGATTTTCCCATGACTCTTACCGCTCTTGCACTGGTTGTGATTGGGATCATTCTACTGTCATGTGGGATATGCAAGGAAACGAACAGAGGACCTAGAGGTATAGAAAGACTCGTCATTTGCATCTAACGTGCATATTAATAGCTACTAATCGACGTACTGTTAGTTTCACAGTAATGTTCGACGATGTGTCCATGTAAGAGGAAAATATTACTGCTTCAATAAGATTGCTCGTATACTGTACTTAATGTCATTTTTTTCCTTTCTGTTTTTAATCTGAAGTGATAGATTACCAACCGCACCAGTCGATCAGTAAACTTGAACACATATTCTCCCCATTATAAATTATTAGACTATTATTTTTATTTTATTATTAGATACATAGATTATTATTTATTTATTTATTTATTAGTAGATACATTATTATATTTTAACGATCAGAGACCTGATCTCTAAGTAAAGGTTGCATAAAATGCCGAAAAATTGGAAAATATCATTTAATCCTCACACTATTGTGTTTATCTTCTATGATCAATGTATGCAGCGAAGCTCACAATACCTTTAAGGTATACTATAGTGTGACTAAAAGCCAATGCCTCCTGCCAAACGCATGTGTTCTTCCGTCAGTGATCTACCTGGTGCAGTCAGAGGAGCGCCCCCTATTGGTTAACACCACCAACTCCAGCCATGTTATCCACACAAGGGGGTGGATAGAATGCCCAATAGAATGATTGAACCCAACTGTAATGGGTGTCATCACTGTGAAACAGATTTTTTTGTATATTTACTGTAATCCAGATCCTTTATTTAAACGTTATTACTTTAAAATGGAAAATATACAGTATGGTTTCACAAACTTAAAAGGTCATTTCTGGGAACCTCTATGATGATAAACTACAGTCGATAACTAATATTTTATCATTCTCTCTAAAACCCAAATGAAAGAGTGTAAAATCAGGGATTGGTTGTAGGAAAAAAAACTGTCTGTGGTCATTGTATGCCTCTATGGCTCTCACACCATGTCCCGCCCCTAATCATAAATCACTTTCTAATAAAGATTGTAGTCCTTCCTTCTGGACTGGCAGTGTAGATCTAAACACAGAATGGCACGATATGTTTACCAGCTCTTGTAAATCTATGGCTTGTGTAAGTTATCTAAGTCATTACGAGTTTATGATTCATAGTTGAGACTAGGTTTAGGTATAGTAATGCATGAGTGAACAGAAAGTTCTATGTTTGGAATTGTTTCTAAACCTTTGTCTTCTCTCTTTCAGATCTGACCCCTGTTGTGTGGTCTCCTCCTCCTCCCTCAGTGGTGGTCCATCCCGGAGATAATGTCACTTTGCAGTGCATCAATGTCCCCTGGATCTCCAGGACACGTTGGCTTTGGGTTTAAGCAAGTCACTACTCAGAGCCCCTAGGCATCGCGTCTATGTACAGCTCTGAGCAATGTCCAGCATCACAATGGTTTTCAGTCCAGCCATATGGAAAAGTTTGTCAGCCATAGAAACAATCTTCCTCAAAATCACAGAGTTGGATGTAGCTGATTCTGGTCTTTACTTCTGTGGAACGTTCGTAAATAACATCATCTTCACCAATGTGACTGTCCTGAAGGTCCAAGGTAATCTTTTCAACAACTTGTCTGCATGACTCCAAATGCACTAACATGTATATTGATGTATCAGAGTATTATTGAGAAAATGTTGGAGATTTTAATACTATCGTACTACAGTGGGAATAAACAGTGGGAATATTTATCTCTCCTAATCTTCCAAAAGGTCATCAAGATTCTGAAAAGGACCTTAAAGAGCATTGTGAAAAAGGTATGTTTATTTTTGTTATTTTAAGTAGAATCTTTCGTAAATGATTTAATGATGTTTCCATGAAAGTACCACAGAATATAAATAAAGTACAACACGTCTTTTAGCAACAGCCATAGAATACTTGTTATTTCAGTTTCTGATCCACAGATGAGAATCCTGGTCCTTCTCTCCATCAAAGAACTGGATTCTCCTCTGCTGTCTGACCAGCTTTATCATCATCTACACCACCAGGAAATAAATAAAGCTAAGGCCAATTGTCAGTAGAGTTATGTAGTATGTTACTTCTTTCACCAAATCCCTATGTACAGGGTGTCAGTTGGGTATGGCAGGGATGGCAGTCAAACATGTAAAAGTAGGCTACAAAAAAAGTAGACTAAAATCATTCTAATCCTAATTAAAATACAACGGATGTTAGCATATTGATTGGCTGGGTTTTAGGACCATGCGGAGCATCGCTAGGGGGAAAGAAGCTGCCAGCCTGTGCGCCTTTTCTCTCACTTTAAGAAAGCAGAGCAGTGCCCGGAAGTTTGCTTTGCTGGTCAGCCGTTTAGGCAGTGCGCGGGATTGCTTTGAGTTGATGTCGCATTGAACTCGGCCATGTAAGCCTTGCCGCCAGTTGTTTTATGCAACCGGTTAAATCCATATTGATGTCGGCACAATTAGCTATATAATTACTCGTGCCTGTACAGAAATAAATAAATCATTCAAATACAACACCAAGCGAGCTGATTGGCCACAGAGTATCATCTTATTTAAAAAAATGGGCTGTGGATTGGTTTTAAACGTGCAATTTGAGCAGTGCACGCCCGCCAAGACCAAATAGCCTACCAAATTGCTATTGTTGAGTTGTGGCGGTTAGTGAAAAGCTGTAAATATGCCTAGGCCTATCGCATTTTTTCCAAAATACAATCGTAAGGAAAACATAGTTCAGAAAGAAAATGGCTATTGCTGAAATGAGAACACCAATAAAAAGACAAATCGTCTCTACCAATTGAGCGAACAGTAGCTTATGTTGTTGGCACCAGCGGGAGGCCAAAGCCCCGGTGAGCGCGAGCATATTCACTGTCTTTACATTGGATCAGTACCACTGAGAACGTTTTTTGGGACAATAATTTCCTCCTTCAGGCTAGATGGACATCATATTGTACAAATTTGTGTCTCCCCTTTCCGTAGGCCAGATTAGTGGTTTGCATTCAAGACAAGGTCACTTTTAATGATCTGTTGTCAGTGTCACCCAGAGTAGGATACTAATTTGTTTATAAAAGGCCACATTTTTTCCAGTGCAAAGAATGGAGAAGAAACATCTCTGATTAGACCTACGTGTTCAGAACTGTCTGTTTGCTAAGAGTGATTGAGTTATATTATTAGCCTAAATTCTGACTATGCAATCTACTCATCACATAGGAATAGTAGCCTATCTTACATTAGTCTGCAAATGCGATGCTAGATGTATGAAATCCTTCATTATAAAGGTGCAATTTTATGGTGAAGAAATATCTTCCCCAAACTATAGATGTCTGCATTTGATGTCGGCCTTGTTGTGGACTTGAAGCGTGTATTATGCATCTATTTCACATTGCACTGTATGTGCCGTTCCACTAGTAAATAAGTCCATTTATGATGAGATTGAGTATATACTATAGTGTTTGACATTTATAGGTCACTTTAAATAAAACATCACAATAAGGTGTAGAGCGCTCATTTGCCTGCTGGGGGCAGGA